TCAAGAGTCTGAAAACGGCGTCCTTTCAGCACTTATTTTAATTTCGGAAATAAGAAAAAATCGCAAGGAGCCAGGTCTAGCGAGTAAGGAGGGTGAGGGAGGACAGTAATCTGATTTTTGGAATAAAACTGACGAATTAACAAAGTTGAGTGTGCGGGTGAATTGTGATGGTGCAACAAGTATGAATTGTCTCGCCACAACGCGGTTCACTGTTTCACTTTGATGCAAGAATTCAAAATGCATGCAATCGTCTCCCGTTATTATCTTTAAATAAATGTTTCATCGTCATTGGACTGTTCAAGGAGTTGCCGACAAGATTTCCTTTCTGTTATTCGGTCATCAAACGAGGAACAAATCATGCTGTAACTCGAGGCATGTTCAATTTTTCAGTTAAATTTCATGGCATGACCGGATTGAGATGCTAACCTCTTTTCCAATTTCTTTGACTTTCTGAACGTGGGAGTCATTAGTTGATGTCGAAGGCCTACCTGTTTTAAATTGTAAACACCATTCGCTTGTTTCAGAAGTTGAAACGTTTCCGTGAATTTTCCCCCAATTTTATGCATCATTGTTCTAGAAAATTGCACATTTCAAAAATCGTCTCTCGTTAAACGCGTGTTACTATTGAGATATCAACAATCCAAGAACATGTGGTTACAGAGGAGGTTATGCATAACGCAATGCTGCCAATCGCATATCACTAAAATATCTCCATTAGCGCGTAATTCAAAATGTTCCGTTAGTTTCTGAACAGACTTCGTATGTTAAATAAATAATTGGTTTTTAAGCGAAATAATAGTGACAGAATAAGGAAACCTTAGATAACTTAAATTTATCCAAGATATAGAAGTAACATTTTAGTCACTCTACAATATTTTAATTAACTGAGACATGTTTACATCAGAGATAATATAAGAAAATAGCTGAGTATTGGAACCTGAAATCATAAGTATAACTTTAATTGGATGTACTCGAGATAACGAGAAAAATTTACTTGGAAGTTAATAACAAACTTTGCTTTTGATTAAACCTTCATCCTTCGTACTCGGATCGGAATAAATTTCCAGCCATTAAATAGGGATACTTTTTTGTTTGAACATGTTGCGTGTAAACTGATGTTTTTTTTTTTCAAGATGATCACCATATGTTTCTATCTTATAAGCACTCAATTTCGATCCCATAAATTATTTCATAGACATCGAAGACATTTCGAAGACATCATAAAATAAATTGGGCATTATGGAGAATCAATTTGAGAAAAAATTTACTATTTTATGTAAAATATTTTAAGTATTATTATTAAGTATTTACGTATTTAAGTACGTTGTCAAACTATGCGTTCAATAACAATTGAAAATATTTTTGTTTTAAAGACAAATATTTTAATTTTAATGAGAAGCTGAATTTTTAATTATTTAAAAATCTAACTAGAAAATTAAACGACTGATAAACTTTATAATACATAGACTAGGTGGTATCTGTTTTGGTTTGGGTAAATTTTCAATTTTTTTTTCAAAATCTGGATTGCAAAATTATTATGCAAAATCTATAGAACCGATTTTGATGAAATTTGGTGTGATGATTCTACATAATGAAGTTTTCTTCAGCCAAGTATGAAGGTCCTATACCCAACTTAAAGACCAACAAAAAAATTCCCTAAAAAGTAACGTTTTTTAACCCCATTTTTGGCGATTTCTTCGATTTTTATAATAATAATCATGATTTATTCGATTTGTAACTAGTCATATTTTGTAAAAAAAGTTATTACAAAAATTTTTTTCCTCTTCCATTTTCAACTAAATCAACTCTTCAAAAGATACATAATTAAATAGGAACAAAAATATGACATTTTTCGATTTTTTTTAGCATATTGTGCCGCCAAAAATTAAGCCCACTTTTTTTTTATGAGCATAGAAAAATTTGTATTTCTAGTGATATTTAAAAGCTAAAAATCTCCGGACTAATAATTAGAATAAAAACCACACCAAAGTGTTTATTAAATACAGGGTGTCCCGTTCATGTTTCAAAAAACTTTGTGCAACTTCCTCATGGGAAAATCATAGGGGTAGTTCATGTAAAGTTGTTTTTTTTCTTAGACGCCCTGTTTTCGAGATACAGTGTGTTGAAGTTGTTACCTTCCAAATGGTTTTCCTTAATTATCTTTATATCGGCTATAGATAAAAATGTCAAAATTTGTAGTACACGAGTAAACATCAACTGTGCGTTAAGAATAATGTGCAAACAGGTTCTTTCTGAAAAGCAGTATCGCCGATACAGGTAATTCAAGGGGTACAATCGAAGAAAAAATAAGTTAAAAGTCAAAATTTAGTACATTCCTAAATGGTTCTGTAAACTCTAAACGATACTACAAAAAAAAAGGTATACTTGTTGAAATTCTGTAGCATGTACCATTTTCGAGAAAAATGAAGTTGCATTTTTTTTTCTCACATAAAGCAGCACAAGTACATTAACAAAATATTAAATTTTGAATGAGCTGAAGACATTTAGCTACCAACAGTATTTGCATTTAAGACTATAATTTTAATTTCTTACGTATCACATGAAACAGTTAAATAGTAAAATTTTTTAATAACTAAAAGAAATAAAATGTATTTTAAGTTTCATTTTGTTGTAAACTAACATTTAAAAAAGTAAATCAAATTAAACAGATTATGGTAATTAATTATCTATTATTAACTAATTTTAGATTTTGTAAACTACTACACTACCATTACTAAAATAAACAATTGTTGAATGGACTGAATTGTTGATGGACATGAATGCTTAGAAAGAAGTGATAAAAACAGAAAAATATTAGGAAACAGACTCGGAGATATACAGAACAAAACAGCTGCACAATTAAATAAATGTGCAAACTCGAAATACTACAGTAGATACTGAAATTGTCCCCCATTTCCTTCTATGTAACTTCATTTTTCTCGAAAATGGTACATGTTACCGAATTTCGACAAGTATACTTTTTTTGTAGTATGCTTTAGAGTTTACAGAACCGTTTAGAAATATAATAAATTCAGACTTTTAACATTTTTTTTTCGATTGTACCCCTCCAAATACCTGTATGGGCGACACTGCTTTTCAGAAAGAAATCGTTTGCACATTATTCTTAACGCACAGTTGATGTTTACTCGTATACAAATTTTGACGTTTTTATCTTTAGACGATTTAAAGATAATTAAGGAAAACTATTTGGAAAGTAACAACTTCAACACTGTATCTCGAAAAGAGGGCGTCTAAGAAAAAAACTTTACATGAATTATCCCTATTATTTTCCCATGAGGGAAAACATGAACGGGACACCCTGTATAAAGCCCCTTACGAACAAATAAATAATATTCTATAGAGTAAGGTGCGATACCTACCCGGCGACGGAATTGCCGTTTGTTAGATTTGCGGTAACTGTGCGGTGCCACAACCTCTGTTATGACTTTTTCAACAGTTTTTCTAAAGCTGAAATTGCCGTCTAAAAATTACTTTATTTCCTTAAAATCTCAGTTAATGCCTAATAGAGTAGTTGAGATCCCAGGTAAATACAAAAAATGAATACACATTATTATTAAAAATTATAGAAATTAGGATTTTCGTAGGCATTGGATTGACTTCGGCTCCTCTTTGGGAAATTTATAAAAAATATGTATTATTATTAATTATGATGCAGCCACTTTAGTGTCAAAAGTCAAACAAAATCACTACTGAAACATTTTTTTAATAATGCACGTTTAACAGAAGGTACTCTGACCAGCAATACCTGTAAATATCATAATCTAATTGTCTAGGGCTAAGGATTTCCAGATAGGTTAAATATTTAGAATTGATAAGCTTACTTGGACTGCACACTTGGAAAACGTGATAAGTAAGACGAAGAAGACATTGTGTGTCGCCTTATTGGTAGAAACTGGGGACTAATGCCGAGGATGTCATGCTAGATGTATGTATGTACCTATAGTATGGTAAAATCTAGAATATTTTATGGCGCTGTGGTATGGTGGCAAAAAACACAACATACCACAGCGAGGGAAAAACTGAATAAAATCCAGAGATTGGCCTGTTTGGATATAACGGAGGCGTTGTCAACGACCACGACAGCTGCGCTAAAAGTCATGCTAAGTCTGCCACCGCTTCATTAATGGTGTGAAAGAGAAGCGTTGTTAGTAGCATACCGACTTAGGAATAATAATGACTTTAAAGGTAGTCTCTATTCCAAGATTATGGGAACATCTATGTCGGAACCAATGCTGGGGATGGTATCCGACAAGATGGTGGGAAGGTCTCACTTCCATAAGCCATTCGAGACTCGAATAGAGGATCAGAGTGAATGGGAAATTTGGTACCCTGGAAAGATGGAGCCTGATGTGGCTCAGACACATATGGAGTGCAAGCCGCAGTCTGGGGAGATTTCCTACTGTATTTCAAGCAGAAATTTTCACGATAATGGCGCGTGTTTAGCAGAGAATGGACGTAGAGGTTATAAACTTATATACATATTCTTTGACACACTCAAGGTAAATTCAAAACTTGTGTGGGAATATTTACAAATGATGACTGAACTGGCTACCAATAATACAGTTAGATTGTGTTGGGTACTAAGACACAAATGTATTGACGAAAATGAGAAAAAAGACGACTTTCTAGGAAGGCAAGGAAGGAAGGAGAGCAAGGCAGCTTTTGGACTTTGTTAAAAGGGCAAAGCTACTTGCTGAATAGGTTTGAACAGTGGACGGCACAATAGGCCTGATAAGGCCGCGGTGTCATGGGGCTTGAATAGAACCTAACCACAGGAAGAAGAAAAAGGAAAAGAAGAAGGCAAAGGAAGTGCAATGTAAGTGTGGCGTAACTGGCGGCGACTAAATGCATAGACCACGCCATAGCAACCCAAAAAACCATCATACTTTAAATATCAGCACAGGTCGTGAAACCTAAAACCACTAAGAATAACGATATAATTAAGAAAAATTTAAAACTAATTATTTTTATTTACCTACTTTTGCTTTTAATTCGCTTTCCAACATTCTGGTGTTGCCGTGCTCTGCAAGTTGCCTCAGACCTTCGCTGGCTATATCCCCATAGTTCCAGAAGGTGTAGTTCACTGTATGGGATGCGCCGATGATATCGCTAAATCTTGTTAGTCATCCATTTGAAGGGAAATCTTTAGGGTGAGTATTTCTCGACCAAAGCCCCTCGAAGGTTACCTGTGACAAATATGAATTTATTATAAACCTAAAAGCAAAGGGATAAGTCCATAAAAAGCTGTATCTTTGGAATGCCATACTGGCAATTCAAAATTGTTGTCTAAAATCTTTGGGTAATTTTTTTTTATTTAATTGGGTATGTTGCTACACTGAAAAGAAAATGAAATTATATTAGATATTTAAAAATATTAATTATTTCTTGAATAAATAACGTTTGCAATAAAAGAATAATTAATTGGGTTGGTTTTATAAATTTATTTCTGCCCAATCAGATAAATCTCATACCGTGAATTTAATCCCTTTCGCAATTATTGTAATTTGAATGAATAATAGAAGGTGCCTATAATAAATAAAAATTACCTTAATCACACCAAATTCCGCATTACTGCACTGCACTGCTAGGCCATTTGTTGACAACTAAATTTATGGCCAGTGGCCCAATGCGGCTGTGTTTGTGCCGCGTTTGCCCGCGCGCTCATTCTTTAACTGAGCGACCAGACCTGTATATGGGTATGGCTAAATAAATATGGGAACAAGTTTTCCAAATATTTCAATGCCGAGTTGCTGCATCGGAAAGACTACACCATTTGTGCTACTTGTTTAGAAAATACCCTATATAAAAGCATTTGATTTCGATGATCCAGACCAAACTTTTGTTTTTTTAATGGGATCCCTGTATATTTACTGTTTCCCCCCTTTTTTATTACAATAATACATATATACATAATCATGTATTAGTTTTGAAAGTTTGCACAATATTTAGGTTTATTTACTGATCTCGCACATAGTCAAAATTGCCGTGGAACGACGGATTAGGTACATTTTCCGCTGCTAAACTTTCTACTTATATCTATCCTTCGAGCATATACTCCTAGAGGCAGCCTTCAGTGTTGAGAAAGCGCGACTCGTGTGCGAGAGAGAAAGGAGAATAAACGGACATGCTATCTTTCTCGCACACCAGTCGCACTTTCTCAGTACTGATGGCTGCCTCTAGGAGTATATGCTCGAAGTATCTATCCCATTATAAAATGTGTTTTAATAATATCTTAATTATGGACAAAAGACATAATAGTAGTATTACTGTTGATTCAAAAACTTTATATTAACATTCAGGACGGTAAAGATTTATAGGTTTTATATTAATTGTATGGAAGTATTTTTTTTTGATATTTAATGTAACAATGAGAGATTCAGGGCTGATATAAAGATATAATAAAATTTAAAAAATATATGCTTATTGTAACATACTAACCGAATTACAAATGTACACGATATTACCGGTATTACAAATGACTTATTAGTAACGCTATCTCAGAGAGCCGCAACGGTGTGCCAAGTGGGTCACATACGTGAGCCACTAGTTTAGAATGCTTTTCACGTTCACATCATGTTGGTATACTGTTGCCTTTGTTATCGTGCGGATGTTGCGTAATTAATTCCTATCCGTTGGTGTTTACGGTGGTATATTGTAGACAATTTAATTTGTTGCTTTTTAATAAATAATGCTCTTTTATAGGAGAGGAAGATGGTACTGTTGAAAAAAAATATTCTGCAATTGCTAGCTTCATAAAACTACCTTGGGTATTTTCAGTCATAGAAAACAAATTTAAATGACTTTACAACAAATAATTTTATACTAATTTACTTGAGTTAATAAAAATTATATTAACAAAAAATAACAGAAAAATTACTTGGGGATTGAAAATTGATATCAATTATAACATTTTTCGACTGTTTTTTTATAATAATAAAATATTTTTTGTTTTGTAATTAGAATATTTAAAAATAAAATGATTATTATTAAAGCTTTTAATCGTTTTAATATTTTCCCGTTCATTCCTAATGCTTGTTAACTTTCCGACGTAGTCAATTAATAAGATTGAAAACCCTTGTGGTTACACATATCTGCAAGTAAGCAACTTTAAGTATTACGTCAAAAGCACCAGTCTGACGTCGGACGGCCTAACCGTTACAAGCGACAAGAAAATGTGCAACGCGGGATATGGTTCCCGGAAGAGGACCACGGCAGATTGGCGCCAATGACCATATACTTATAACCTGCGAGCGACTTCATACCCAGAAGGCTCTCCAGCGAACGTTCGCCCCGACAACACTTATTCTTTTTCACTAAGTTTGTTTTCAATAAAAATACTTTTATTTTTACCATTGAGAGTATTTTATTTTACTGCACACCAAAAGCAACCCTCAAGTGGTAACCCCGACGTGGTCTTTCAACCGGCGATATTTTTCAACCGACATGATTGTTTCAACCGACGTGATATTTCAACCGTCATTTAGTGAAAGTACGCGATTTTGTGTAACTGGAGTGGTTTTTATTACGTGTAACGCAGTAAGCAACATGAGCTTCAAACAATAAAACTACGTTGAAAATCGTACCTGTCTGAAAAATGACAGACTGAATCGCATCGAGCAACAATTGGTGGAGATGTCGCAGGCAATGGCGAAGAGGACCACGGCAGATTGGCGCCCAGGACCAGATACTTATACTTGCGAGCGACTCCACACACGACTCTCCAGCGAACGATCGCTCCGAAAACACTTATTCTTTTTCACTAACTTTCTTTTCAATAAAAATACTTTAATTTTTACCGTTGAGAGAGAGTTTTATTTTGCTGTACACCGAAAGCAACCCTCACCCTCTTGCTGCAAATGTGAAAATGAAATGAGTAGCTTTGTAGCTACTCTGTAAATTACAATGTTCTTATCGTTTCACCAAAGAAATTAATATCATTAGTACCTTCCTATACATAATTTGCGAATTATTTACTGCAATTTGTATAATATATACATTAAAATACGTACCTCGTATTTGGCTTCATCGCAAGTGCAGCAGTGTCTGAGTATTTTTGGTTGAGTATCATCGGTGTCCGGTGACTCCTCGCAAAGAGTTTTCGTCAGCTCCCCGTCTTCGCTGAACCACAGGTCGACGGACTCGACTACCGTAGCTCGAAATTTGATGCAACCACTGCCTTTCTGGGGCGCTTTCCATAGGACCTGAATGAAATATGTCTTTCAGAATCATCCTATTGTATTATGGAGAGACTAATCCTATAATGAAATTAACTCAGTGTTCCATCAAATATCCCATTTGTTTAAGGGAACTCTAGATATCTTAGGGATACTTATGTCCTATGTTTTCTGACATATCCTTAGAATTGAGACATATTTGATATAAGTAATTTATATTTAAGAACAGTGTATTATCGGAGAAAACAGATACAGAACTTTTTATTATTTAAACAGGCATCGACCTCACAAACATTTTAAATTCGTTTTATTTAAAATGCCACCGCCTAATTTTTCAGAGGTATTGTTCTTATAATAATCAATCTAAGGGATAAAATGTATTTACCCACCCAGAAAACATTTCAGTGACTTTTTAATCTGCCAGATAAAATCTTCGAGAGAGGGTTGCAGCTGTCTTGAATACTATCTAAAGCACCCGCTAAATAACGTTATATAAATCTCGGACAAAAGAGAAGGCTTATAGATTGCTGGGCGCTTATTTTAATTCATATTCAAAAATTGCTCCGCAGATGACAAAATCATGCTTTTACTAGAATATACTTAATATGTCAAAAATTTGCAGAAGTAAAAGAAAGTTACAAAATCGAGGACACATTTCAAATAAATTTTAAAATGATTTTGCTTTTTATAAAAAATAAATAAATGAATACACCGTAAGCAAATGAACGAATTAATTAAACAGTGAATAAAGGAACGAATTAGTGAATGACTTCAGAAAAACGGAATGAATGAATGAATGAATGAATGAATGAATGAATGAATGAATGAATGAATGAATGAATGAATGAATGAATGAATGAATGAATGAATGAATGAAGAGTAAATTAAAATTTTATAATACTTGAAGTAATCTTATTAAAACCAAAATTGATTTAATGGCGTAGCCAGTTCAGTTTTCAAATGCTATTAGCCTAAAGGTCTTAAAAAAAGCAGCAAGAAGGAAAAAATTTGAAGTACTATTCAAATAAATCTTATACAGAGTGATTCAATCATAATGCCATTCATTTTAACCACGTATTTGGGAGGTCAGGGAAGATAGAAAATCGGAAAATATATTATTCGCCCTTTTAAAAGGTAAGCACACCTAACTCCCCTACTTTACATCACACCTGTAACGTGCCGGCGGACCACAAAGCGTACGAATGTTGAAGCGAAACAGCTGATTTCCCCAGTGGTCTTGAATTTTACAATTAGTTTCAAAATCAGAGTGCAGCGTATCCCAATTCTATTAACAAAGTGCTGTAGACGGATGCCGTTCTGACATTTTATATAGGTTGGTACCATACTACTCTTTGAAAAGCAATAAGTCACTAGGTATACGTACTACAAACCGAATAATTAATTGAACATAGGTAATATTAAAAATTCATATTCAATTATAAAATATAATGAAAACGTTACCAAAATAAAAAAATACTAAATTGTAATAACCTAACAATAGAAAACAATTATTATGTTTATACATTTATTTTTATTAACAAGTAAATAATATGTTTAAAATGTAAAAAGTATCTCATTCATTTATATGTCTAGGCAAAGAGATCTGTTTACTTTTTATTGTTCACTACGTATTAAAAACGCAGTAAAAACTCGGTTAGTGACCAATCTAAATAAAAAATTTAAATAAATTTGGAACGAATACACTGAAAATGAATTTTTCGAGACAAAAGGTCTGAATTTTGTTCGGGCTAGGGCAGTACAGTATTGGGGGTCATGAAGGCTTGCAAAAAATGTAATAAAATTTCTAGGGTCGTATTTAAAAAAATTAAGTTGATGATGGTCCTGAAGACACGAAACGTTACATATAAAAATTGACTATGCCATTCGATAGAGGACAAAAAGTGGCCATGAGAAAGTGTTCTTCTTTTTTTAATATCGCCTCAAACAAGGCTGAAATGAAACAAAAACGGATTTCCAAAATTTCGTTTTTTTTTTCAAATATTTCGAAAACTAATCATGTTAGCCTTGATTTGTTAGAGGCATAATGTTGGACTCCTGAATACGCAACTTTGCCCCCATTTAAGCTAGTTTGTATCTCTTACCGTTTTCGAGATCCCTGTAGTGAGAAGCGAATTTGTAACAGCCTGTATAAGTGTATAAGCAATATTTATCATAGTAAACATTAAATTCAACGAGCAATTCAAAAATGCAATAACATACCGTGACAATGCTCTGATGAAAGAATACATTAAAATATTCTATACAGGGTAGCCCATCGAAAACGTACCGCAAGGCATTACAGGGTAGTAAAGAACTTTTCGGCAAAATCCAAAAACAGGTCAATTTTTTTTCTGAGGGGGACAAGTTTGGCTCAAAATGCATACCAAAATCTTCAACCCCCTAAGTGGGGGTGCTATCCCCTAAATTTTTTCAAATGGGAATGGGGGTCAAGTGGGGGGTCATTAGAAAGGGCTTTTAATTCTCTATACATCGATTCTTACTTTTTGAAAATCGATCCATTATTTTAGAAAATATGCAGCTTTGAAAATACGAACAATATTTTTGACGAGAAATGCGAAAATCGATTTAATTTTACTTTAAAACTTACGGTATTAGTCAAGTAAATGCTGAAAATGTTGTCCGCCAACTTGCATACAATGATACAGGTTGTCTTCAAACCGTTGTCGAACATTCTGGAGCACTTGCGGTGTTACTTCGCGACATACATTAATGATTCGTCCTCGCAGATCTTCCAAGGTATCAGGTGGAGTGCTGTAAACTTTGCTTTTAATGTGCCCCCAGAGAAAGAAATCTAAAGGATTTAAGTCGGGTGACCGAGGGGGCCACTCAATTGCACCTCTTCGTCCTATCCAGCGTCCTGGAAACGTCTCATTTAGGTAATTGCGC